TAGCTGTTAGCAGCTGCGCCTCGTGCTTGGATAATCTAGTGGTGACTGTGTCCTTATTTTGTTGTGTAGGAACAAGAGCTACGTGTCAGACCACCATCGACCACACATACGTTTTCTCTAACAGGTATGGTTGTAATTTATAGTACAAAATGTTCAATATAATCGTGTTGTCTGTATAAAATTAGTAGTTTTCGTAGCCGCCTGTAATGTGGTAAATGTTGTATAAAGAGAGTTAATGAACGTGCTTGGGTTTATTTTGATGTGAATTACTTTCTCAAAACTATACGATCGCATTATTAAGTGAGTAGCTGGGTGTTGCCAGATAGTCGTGGTTTTCCAGCCCAAAAATCTGTTAAAAACTGCCACGTCACACAAAATCCCGCCCAATCAGTATATTGTTATATTTACTGTTTTGAACATGAACGCACATCAGTATAAGCCAAGGAAATGTAACACTATGTGGCAAAAGGCAACAAAACAAGAAACTGCCCAGAGTTGTTCTCCGTAACGACTCTTTGAGTCAGACCGAGCAGTTCACGCAGACCGGAAGTGGGGCCTCGAGCTGCGTCGGAAAGGGCTTTGACGCTAACGGGCCGTTTACATGGCGCCTATTTTGAGTGAATCCGAAGCTGCGGTTCTGATCATTTACACGACACCAGTAGCCCCCCTCTTTGAATCCGGAGGTTTCTGAACCCACCTTCCAGAGTGGAGGTTTTTCACGGACACCCCCCTACAATGTAATCACCTCCCGCTGAGGCTTTGTGTTAAACCACATGCACGCATGCGCGGACAGACGCTATATTTTTATCAACATGGCGGCGGACACACTGCTTTCTGAACTACGACTGATGGAATATATTTTAATCTCGTAGTTAATCTACGTCAGATTCCAGGTGCTGTGACCAACATCAGCGTTGGAAGAGACACAGTCTGATCCAGTTCTAATGTCGCTGTTTATAGAACGGGGCACGCGCACACGTCGCGCTGCACTATAACATCCAAACGTGCTAAATAATAAGTTTTAATAATAATAAACAGTATTTATGTTAGTGTGTGAGATAATGAAGCTCTGAAATAAATGAAGCTATCTGGACATTATGCAATTCAAATTTAAAATGATGCTAAACATATAGCATGAACACTAAAGTTGAAAATGAAGACATCAGGTTTAATTTATTTATTCAACACCACAAACTGTATGTCACACAAACACTGATAATTAAACTGAACACACTATTAAAACACGTTAACTGAACTTGAATGGATTGAATAAAAGAAATGAGGGGAATTTTAAATAAATAGTTTATCAACATCTCTGTCTTCCACGTCCTCCTGCAGTTCATCTGAGCCGAGCCTCGTTCAGAACCGGTCCGCCTGGTGGGAGACGGCCTCTTCTTTCAGGAAAAATAAAAACTCAGTTGTTTTGTAACCGAAGTAAACACAAACTAACATTATTAAGAACATTTGATTTACCTGCTGTAAACCAGCTACTGGTTATCACGGAGTAAAGTCCGACATCGTCGACTCTGTTCTGGTCCACTCAGCGACCGGTGTGGAGCTGTTAGACGAAGTGGTCCCGCTTGGCGTCAAATCTGTCGACTCTCATCCAAAATCCAGCTTTAACTTGTTGTTACGTTGTTGTTAGCTGGTTAGCCCAGAGGAAAACAACGTACCGAGGCAGCACCATGCGCATTAGGTGAAGGTACAAAATTCACAGCGCCATCTAATGACCTGGCATGGTAACTACAGCGGATTCAGGGGGGTGGGGGGGGGGAATCCTCCTGATGCATGTAAACCCAAAATCTGACCGTGTCAACGCAAATCTTTTCCTCTAATTAACATACAAAAAAACCTACGTTCCCCCTATCGTGTCCGTGTAAATAGGGCCTAACAACAATGTCAGATCCATTGAGTGTCACGTGACACATCACATACTAACATCCTGATGCATGCTCAATAATCCAGGCAGGAAAAAAAAAAGTTTGACAAACTCATCGATAAAACAAAAGTTTTGTCAATGGAAAAGAGGGGCAGGTGTCACTCTCGATTTGAGTTTATACTCTTGTCGCATGCATGTTGTGGGTGACAAGCAAAGAGCATGATATAAACAGCAGCTGAGGAGGTGTCTTCAGTTATTTATCTTCTCAGCAGCAGAGGGGAGCGGCACTGTTTAAGCATGGCTCCCCAAATGACAAGGCAGTCTAGGGCTGGGCCATGTCATATCGTTCATGATAATACCGGTAAAAAAAAGAACTTGCCCGGGGAAAAACAATAATATCATGATATGCTAATTTCATTACGTAATGCGTCAGGACCCATTAATAGAACTGAGCGCTCCGAACAACCGAACTGAACTGCGCACCATCCCCATCCACCTGTTGGTATAGCGTAACGCTAATTAGTTGTGCAGAATACTAGCTAGCTAAAATGCTAAAAACAACGTGCGACACGGCTGCGTTTTTCCGTCCAGCTCTAAACTGCAGGTACAGACAGCTTGAGCTGTCTCTCCCTCCCCTGCACCCCACTCTAAGCTGCAGGTGCGGCGCAGTTTGGCTGCATCTCCCCCCGCTCTTAACTGCTGGTACAAAGTAGGGATGCACCGATCCACTTTTTTTTCCCGATCCAATCCCAATACCTAAATCTGAATATCGACCGATACGATCTTGTTCTGATATCATGATCATCATTGATTTTATATGAGGCTGTAATAATCTCCTCTCAAGTACAATTTGTACAAATATATGCATGCATGACCAAAAAGGCAACTTGAGGTAAGTTTTATTAATGTTGGATAAGTTTTAAAGTTAGAATTAAATTCTGCTAACGCAAAACATGTTTCTTTTTATTCCTAGCTTCAAAGTGGATATTAAAGTGACTAATTGATTGTTTAAAGTTGTTTTATATTTTTTTAAGTAAGAGGCAGATATAAGAATTGTTTTCTTCTTTCTGCACTCTTTTCATTCTTTTCTTTTTGATAATTTTTTTTTGTTTGTTTCTTTTAAATGAATGACTAAATGAATTAAAATAAAATGTTAAATGGCTTCAAACATCTATTAAGTTCACGGCATAAACCAACAGACATGTTCCTGTTTTTAGTATTTTACATCACTTTATAATGTAGCTGTTTTTCTTT